ATTTAAAAAAATAGAAATTTTATAAAAATTATTATAAATATTTTGAATTATAGGTTCTCGGTCGTTAATTTATACAAGTTTTGTTCTATTTTTCAGTTTATGCAAAATTAGTACATTAAGCAGTTTATTGGAAATTTCAAAAACAATTGTTAAACTATAAAACATTAAAACGTTAAAGCATTAAAATGGAAAAATACAGGTTTTCAAAATGTCAAAAAAATTCTAAAATTCTAAAAAAGTCTAAAATTCACATGAAATTATTGTAGTAAATTTATTCTTCATAAATATCTTTCTTTCAGATATTGCGATAAGTTATTTTTTTCATTATATTTTAGATAATGAAGCATTTTATTAATTGAATTCCCAAGCTATAATTTACAAATCCTTTTATAAAATACAATCATTTATATATATATATAAAAAAAAAAAAAAAAAAAAAAAAAAAAAAAAAAAAAAAAAAAAAAACAGAATCATTTTATCCAACTCAAAAACATAATCCAATTAAATATGTGATTTTTATACGTAGTGTGTGACACAAAACTTAAAGCCGTACGTACTATCTCGATTAAATTGGTTAATTAAGTAAATTTATTAAATATATTGTTGTATAGGATCTATAAATTTTATTCGCATGGCTATAATAAAACACTGTTTGTATTCAAGGACAATAGGAGTTTTTTTTTTTTTTTTTTTTTTTATAATATGAAACATGAATAATGACATAGTCATAATAGTTTGACAATGAGTATAAGATTTTTTAGTGCTTTTTAGTAAGCATTTTTGTCAATCAAGATTTTTAATACTGAAGTAAATCAAGCTTTTATTTATGCAGAAAATAGTAATGTGCTATGTGTTATTTCCATTTTTTTTTCTTTCTTTTTCTTCCTTTTTTTTTATTTTTTTTTTTAAGATTTAAACTATAATAATTAACTAATAATCAAATTGTAGATTGAATCTATTTAACAACACCAAAAATTTCAAAGGTTCAATTACTGTCATAAATTTTACCAGCTAATAAATGAAAATTTCATCGGTAAGTAATTTTAATACATTTAGTATCATTAATAATTAATGTTATTTTAAATAGATCTTGATTGAATACAAAATAGATGTGGAAATGATTTTTGTTAATTATTCCTTACACCTTCATGTTTATCGAATTACCTTAATAATTGCTAAAATTATTAGTAATTTAAATAATTACTAAACATGAAACCCTATCATTCAATGTCAAAAATTGCCGCGAATGAATTTGAAGAAAGGAGTGAACGTACTCAACGATTGGCAATTTGTAAAATATCTAAAATTTTTAAAAACGAAAATTGTAAGATCAGTAATTTAAATGATAAAAATAGATATAGAAGTAGAGAAGAAAGAGGCAGAGAGAGAGAGAGAGAGATAGAGAGAGAGAGATAGAGAGAGATGAGAGAGAGAAAGAGAGAGAGAGAGAAATACATTGAATCAAGGACGCAAAATATTTTCTAAACGATTAAACGACCTGTATTTTATTATTTTCTAATTTGTAAATGTACTTTATTGTTTAAACTTTGTGAAGCGTAATCTCCATTTTGAAGGAATGTAGAGGAAATGTACTTTATGAATGCGTTATACATCTTTTATCAGTGCATTTATTAGAAGCGTAAAAAACATAAATCAAAATAACAGTAAATTTTATGAAAGATAATAGTATTTTATCATTGTGTATGGATATGAAGGTGAAAACGAAAGAAATTTTTAAATTATTGGGTCTATCTAGTTGATGATAACTATGTACAATTACATCACAATATAATTTATGGGAAAATATAGGTATTATTATGCGGCTTAAATGATCAGTGTAAGCAAGAGTATAACAATGAGGAAAAATAATATGAAATTTCAAAGAGATCCAGGCAATTTAATAGAAGTGGTGCGATGGAAATGAAAAATGTGTATTTTTGAGCATTTAAGGAGACAAGCTGAGACTACTCTCGGCAGTGTCAACTTTTTCATTATAATTACAAGGCTTTGACGAGAGAATTCATTGAAGAAAGAAGGTTGTGCTTTACAAAGACGTAAAAACAAAAAATTAAAAACGTGAGCTGCCATAATTGATGGTATCATTATTTTCTTGCGATTAAACAAGAATTTTGCCATCCGTGTGGACGCAAACGGTCTTGGCTTCATAAAACAGAATCGAGTGCTAAGTAGAATATGTCCGAGTTCGGTAAGGCCTCCCCCGCCTTAACATGCCCGCCAAACTCGCTCACTCGTGCGGCCGTAGTACGTAAGATACGTAGGTGGCGGAATCGTGCGAGCGGCCGACCGAGACAGAGAGTTTGTTTAATGAGCGATCGGGCCGTGCCTCCAATCCCCAAATGATAACCGGCCGATCGGGAGGAATGAACGACAAGGACTCAAGCGAACCCGATCGAGGCCGATCCACGTGCTCGAGCAGCCTCGGAACGAGACGAGACTCGGCGCATTATACCATCGAGACGCGGGTAGGGCGGCAAAGGCCACCTCCTCGGCCTTGAGCCATCGACGTGGCTAGCGAGCCGGCGGGGGTGTATGGCGCTTCGAGTCGTAGGGTGGGAGATACGTGCGCCGGGCGGAGGTTCGTGGTACCTTTGGCCGTGGCGCCAGAGAGCCGGCCCCAGTCGTCCGAGGACTACCGCGGTGTCCTGACGGGCGCGAGCCAGCTTCAGCTGTGACGAGAGCGAAGGACGCCGGCAAGCCCGGGCTACCGACACACCCAGTGTCGGACGAGGTACACTTCTTCGACAATTTGATTGCTGGGCCCGCAACATCTCGCTTGGCTTCTCCCTTCTTTCGGTCTGTGCTGCTCCGACGAAGGACCTGTGGTCCTGGAGAACGCTCGTGACTAAGGCGGTTTCGCCTCCTCGAATTCTCTCGCTATAATAGCGATAATAACGGTTAAGACAATATACGATCTCCACGCTTTCTCATTACCAACTTTATTATTATTATTATTATTATCTTTATTCGATTGTTTAATAGCGCGACATTCAATTATAAGACTCGCGCGTTAATTTGAGCGTACGGGCGATTTGCCGTAACGCGCTCGTTCGTTACGAAGGTGAATATTGCTATTGAATTGATAGATCGTTACCAATTTTTGGTACTTAATTAATTGTCATTATTAATAAATCAATCATCGGCGTTCGATTTACTTAAAAAAAAAAAAAGAAAAAAAAAAATTACATGTCTTATAATTGCATTAGAATAAAAAATATAATAAAAATAAAAATCACAGTCTCGTCATAGGAATACGTAAACATGTATTTGGTCAGTTTAATAAAAACTTATCGCTAATTTAATCGCTTGAATTTAGTCGATTGAAGTTGTTTTATGCCAAAATACGACATTTTGCATATTTGCGTGCAAGTCACCTGACCATATTCTGATCATTACGAATTAATCATACAGAGAAAAAGAAAAAAGTTCATAATTTTACGTAACTTTGAATATGAGGGATTATTCTTACCGTCTCATTGTATCTTAGTGGGATATAAATTATTGATTATCGATTGAAGCAAACGTGTACCGGCAAACACTTCTCTTTTACACTTCACATTTATTTTTAATACCGATCGATAATGTAATGATAAACAAAACTCGCTTGCGCCACGCCATTTTGCATTTTCTCTCTTGGTATATGTGCTCTCATATAACATTAATAGACCATCTGAAAAATTTATAAAAACAATTAATTAAAATATCGAATCGTTGAAGTTTATTAATAATTAATGTAATTAAGTTCACGGTATTATCGACATGTGAGCGCCATTTGAAATATACCAACAAGGCGATTTAATTAAGTGCACAACGCGCCGCCGGTGTAATCAGCTCGGACAGGTGTTGACACGCAGCCCTATTATTATTAGTATAAAATAAATGAGATTCGAATGGATCTTTTAAATCGTCGCATTTTGTTTGTAATTACCGCAGTCCAACGGGGCACAAGAATAAAATGTGATTTTTTTTTCTTTTTCTTTTTTTTCTCTCTTTTGTAGATATAACGTTTTCACAAATGGACGATTATCGAATTAATTCATTTATTTTACACGTAAATTTAGCAGTCTCACGAGGATAGCTTAGTTATAAGGATTAAAAAAAAAAAAAAAAAAATAAATAAAAGGGCAATTATACTAACATCACTCTCTTTACGAAAGCTGAGCACAACGACGATGCAATTGTAGCAGAATTCAGAGTATTGCGTGCACTACGGTAAAGTACGTAAATCCGTAATGCGACAAAAGAAATGACGATTGACTGGAAGTCAAGTGGACGTGAAAATATTTATTATTGTCGATATCGCTTTATGCGGAGTATTTCGCGAGATAAAATGCAAAATGTCGCGTAAGAATTGAAATGCTCAGTGCCGGGGGAGGAAGGGGAAGCCATGCGAGAGGAAGTTAGCACGGGAGGGATTGGAAATGATTGGTGAGTTACTGACGAGTGAGGGGGAGGGGAAAGAGAGAGAGAGAGAGAGAGAGAGGGATGGTTAGTGGTGGTGGTTAAGGCGAGATGAAATCAGGTGAGGAAAGGTTTGGGTTATCGGCAGTGCAGGAGGCGAGTCGCAGGACAGACGCCAGCCGAGACAAGCCGGAATCATTGAGTCGCCGGCGAGCTCCTCGTGCCGCTCCGTCTCGGGCCCGGAGTCCCCCTACGACTTCGAGCCCCAGGTCGTCGCGCCGAGCCGCCGTCGCTCGTCCCTCCTCACGGTACCCGGGAGGCGGCGTCGCAGGAGCTCCCAACTTCGCTCCCTCTCGCCCGACCTCGACGACGAGCACGACGACGAGCGCGACGACGAGCGTAGCCACGATTACGAGAAGAAAGAGAAGAAAGACAACTCTGACAACGGCAACGACGACGACAACGACAACGACCACGACGACGACGACGACGACGACGACGACGACGACGACGACTACGACGACGACGACGACAACGACGACAACGAGGGCGACGACAACCACCGGAATCGCGTACACAAGCACGACCACGGCCGCAACTACAAGGACTACGTCGGCCGCGACAACGACCACGACGACGTTCGTTTTAGGAAGGAGGCAGATAAGAAGCGACTCCTTGACTGCCCGCGGGAACACTACGAATATACCAGAGAAGCCTTTGTCGTATTGATGAGCGACTCCTTCGAGGTCATCTCTTTGCCGGCAGACATGATGCAGGTAGCCCGTGAAGCAGCTGATTATTAGCGAGACGTTTTATTCATTTTAGCGCGAACTTTTTGGCTAATCGCGCGAATGCTTTTGGATAATTTCAGCGTGGCATTTGGTGCCGAGGCCGGTAAACGAATTAGATATGACGCCGTAAATAATCCTTATGATTGTCAATTGTTTATACGAGTCTAATTGAGTCAACGACTGCAACAGTACCATTGGGAGGGGGGGGGGAGAAGGAATTAATTTATTAATCTGTACGCAGCATCCGTGAATTAATCAGCTTAGACGATTGACTTGAAGGGCACCGTTTCAATAACATTGTCGAGTGCATTTTTTTTCTTCAATGCCGTTACAGCAGCCAAATGCGTAAAATAGCAGTGAACTCGATCGATTATATATCGTAGATTAATGTACGGATATAGTGATATCAACGACTATTAATCAAACATCCATGTAATGATATTCTCCTATTGGTCAATTAACGGTTGAGCATTATTATCGAAATATATTAATGATAAATTTTAGATGAATAGTACGTGATCTTGTTGCTGCTTATGACATTATATTGTTTAATTAGATTGCTAACGAATATTATCCGTAGGTGAAAAATGTTCATATTATTAATTAAATTATATGGAAGTAGAATTGCATTGAAGTATACTGTTAGTTTTCGAATAAATTGTTTCGACCTCCTTTCACTTTAGAATTAATTACTGTTAAATTTATGTGATATTCTAAATCTCTTCGGACATTCACAAGAATATATCCAATTATGTCGTTACATAATTTTGCATTACAATCCTACTCATGTGCGAAAAAATCTATTTATTAAATTGAATAAGAAAATTGACAAAGAAAATGCCGCACTGCTAATTTTACCTCCAATAATCGAATGAATCTCTCCACCCCCCATCTACCCCCATCAACCCCCATCTACTCCAATCCCTTTATAGTACAATTTTGAAAATACCAGTTCGGTGAATTTTTAAGTCGAATTATTTTTACAAATTATTCCCCCCCCCCCCCGTGCCCCCTCCTCCCACCCCAGCCCCATCCCCATCCCCATCCCGCCCGCCGAAAAATATAAAGCGCTTATCTTCTCATATATTTCCGATCGATCGTTACCTACCAAAAATTATACTTTCTTTATTCCATTACGACAGCGACATATAATAATAATAATAAATATAAGAAATAAAATAAACGCTAGTACGACACAATAATAGCTGACTAAATCAACGGGATATTACATTTAATGAAAAAATGTGTTGGTTGCAGAGAGCAACATAAGTCTTGGGGTTGAGGCAGTGTAAGTAAACTAGGCTAGCGGACTGGATAAGTGGAAGGAGAAGCGAGAACCCCGTGCAATCTAGGCTAGACTCTGCATCCAAATCACCGTTAGTACCTTTGCCTGTCGCCTCCTACCTTTCAAACGCACTCGACCTCGAAATCCAAGTCTCATATGCATATCCTGATCATTGACCACAGGCACCGGACCTGTCATTCGCCATCTACAAACATCGACATACACGACAATACCACTTTAGCCTTCCATACCAGACTCGAAATTTTAGTGCAATGCATTTGTATATCACTGAATCGCGACCCGATTCCTTATAATGATGGGCGTCCTTATAATCTCGGGTGGGGGGATGGAGGGAGGGAGGGGGGTGGGGGTGGGAGGGGGAGAGGCGGATAGGGAGGGAATAAGGTTGACCTATTCGTTATGCAAAAATCAACATTGAGCTCGTATTTCTTGAAGCGCTCGATAGTGTTTTGAAGAATTTGTTAATTGTAAAGAAAGCACTTTTCTCGAGTCATTGAGCAAGTGAATTTGTAAGCGAGGGTATTTATGAGATTGCTTCATCATTTTTCCTCTTTTTTTCCTCTTTCAAGCCATATTGTAAGCAAAAGCAAGGATCCGAGGTCATTAAGATTTAAAGGTTCATGTTACAATGCAATGACACGAGAGGCGGCTAGTATCATCTTAAGGCCAATTTACGCTCATTTACACTTAAATCAGAATTTCTTCCTAATGTTCCCCATCCCATCGCTCCTTGCTACCGACAATCCAGCCAAAGGGCAAACGACATGTTTAATATGTTCGCCAAGTGCGAATGCCCTCTATTGTCCAATTCCCGTGCATGATTAACCAAGAGTCATAGGCAATCGCGAGGTTGCAATTGAGAAGCAATTAAAGGATGTTTGTCGAACCGTTGTTTCAGCCGGCGAGCTACGGTAAGAAGAGCAATACGTGGTACACGTCGAGCGGGGTTGGCGGTGGGGGTGGCGGAGGCGGTGGGGCAGCGAGGTCCGGGGGTGGACTCGCGGGTGGCGCGATGCCGGGGGGCGGTGGCATGGGGGGCTGGCAGAGTCGCAGCACCCCGGCTGGCGCGAGGCTCCG